TCTATAGTCTAGTTATAGTCTAGTCTATAGTCTAGTCTATAGTCTAGTATAGTCTAGTTATAGTCTAGTCATAGTCCAGTCTATAGTCCAGTCTATAGTCTAGTCTATAGTCTAGTTTATAGTTAGTATAGTCTAGTCTATAGTCTAGTCTAAGTGTAGTCTATAGTTTAGTCTATAGTCTAGTCTATAGTCTAGTCTATAGTCTAGTCTATAGTAGTCTATAGTGTAGTCTATAGTGTAGTCTATAGTCTAGTCTATAGTTAGTCTATAGTCTAGTCTATAGTCTAGTCTATAGTAGTCTATAGTCTAGTCTATAGTGTAGTCTATAGTCTAGTCTATAGTCTAGTCTATAGTCTAGTCTATAGTCTAGTCTATAGTCTAGTCTATAGTCTAGTCTATAGTCTAGTCTATAGTCTAGTCTATAGTCTAGTCTATAGTCTAGTCTATAGTGTAGTCTATAGTAGTCTATAGTCTAGTCTATAGTCTAGTCTAGTCTAGTCTATAGTGTAGTCTATAGTCTAGTCTATTCTAGTCTATAGTCTAGTCTATAGTCTAGTCTATAGTCTAGTCTATAGTCTAGTCTATAGTCTAGTCTATAGTCTAGTCTATAGTCTAGTCTATAGTCTAGTCTATAGTCTAGTCTATAGCTAGTCAGTCTATAGTCTAGTCTATAGTCTAGTCTATAGTCTAGTCTATAGTCTAGTCTATAGTCTAGTCTATAGTCTAGTATAGTCTAGTCTATAGTCTAGTCTATAGTCTAGTCTATAGTCTAGTCTATAGTCTAGTCTATAGTCTAGTCTAGTCTAGTCTATAGTCTAGTCTATAGTCTAGTCTATAGTCTAGTCTATAGTCTAGTCTATAGTCTAGTCTATAGTCTAGTCTATAGTCTAGTCTATAGTCTAGTCTATAGTCTAGTCTATATAGTCTAATAGTCTAGTCTATAGTCTAGTCTATAGTCTAGTCTATAGTCTAGTCTATAGTCTAGTCTATAGTCTAGTCTATAGTCTAGTCTATAGTCTAGTATAGTCTAGTCTATAGTCTAGTCTATAGTCTAGTCTATAGTCTAGTCTATAGTCTAGTCTATAGTCTAGTCTATAGTCTAGTCTATAGTCTAGTCTATAGTCTAGTCTATAGTCTAGTCTATAGTCTAGTCTATAGTCTAGTCTATAGTCTAGTCTATAGTCTAGTCTATAGTCTAGTCTATAGTCTAGTCTATAGTCTAGTCTATAGTCTAGTCTATAGTCTAGTCTATAGTCTAGTCTATAGTCTAGTCTATAGTCTAGTCTATAGTCTAGTCTATAGTCTAGTCTATAGTCTAGTCTATAGTCTAGTCTATAGTCTAGTCTATAGTCTAGTCTATAGTCTAGTCTATAGTCTAGTCTATAGTCTAGTCTATAGTCTAGTCTATAGTCTAGTATATAGTCTAGTCTATAGTCTAGTCTATAGTCTAGTCTATAGTCTAGTCTATAGTCTAGTCTATAGTCTAGTCTATAGTCTAGTCTATAGTCTAGTCTATAGTCTAGTCTATAGTCTAGTCTATAGTCTAGTCTATAGTCTAGTCTATAGTCTAGTCTATAGTCTAGTCTATAGTCTAGATAGTCTAGTCTATAGTCTAGTCTATAGTCTAGTCTATAGTCTAGTCTATAGTCTAGTCTATAGTCTAGTCTATAGTCTAGTCTATAGTCTAGTCTATAGTCTAGTCTATAGTCTAGTCTATAGTCTAGTCTATAGTCTAGTCTATAGTCTAGTCTATAGTCTAGTCTATAGTCTAGTCTATAGTCTAGTCTATAGTCTAGTCTATAGTCTAGTCTATAGTCTAGTCTCTAGTCTAGTCTATAGTCTAGTCTATAGTCTAGTCTATAGTCTAGTCTATAGTCTAGTCTATAGTCTAGTCTATAGTCTAGTCTATAGTCTAGTCTATAGTCTAGTCTATAGTCTAGTCTATAGTCTAGTCTATAGTCTAGTCTATAGTCTAGTCTATAGTCTAGTCTATAGTCTAGTCTATAGTCTAGTCTATAGTCTAGTCTATAGTCTAGTCTATAGTCTAGTTTAGTATAGTCTATAGTCTAGTCTATAGTCTAGTCTATAGTCTAGTCTATAGTCTAGTCTATAGTCTAGTCTATAGTCTAGTCTATAGTCTAGTCTATAGTAGTCTATAGTCTAGTCTATAGTCTAGTCTATAGTATAGTCTAGTCTATAGTCTAGTCTATAGTCTAGTCTATAGTCTAGTCTATAGTCTAGTCTATAGTCTAGTCTATAGTCTAGTCTATAGTCTAGTATAGTCTAGTCTATAGTCAGTCTATAGTCTAGTCTATAGTCTAGTCTATCGTCTAGTCTATAGTCTAGTCTATAGATAGTCTAGTCTAGTCTTAGTCTAGTCTATAGTCTAGTCTATAGTCTAGTCTATAGTCTAGTCTATAGTCTAGTCTATAGTCTAGTCTATAGTCTAGTCTATAGTCTAGTCTATAGTCTAGTCTATAGTCTATCTATAGTCTAGTCTATAGTCTAGTCTATAGTCTAGTCTATAGTCTAGTCTATAGTCTAGTCTATAGTCTAGTCTATAGTCTAGTCTATAGTCTAGTCTATAGTCTAGTCTATAGTCTAGTCTATAGTCTAGTCTATAGTCTAGTCTATAGTCTAAGTCTATAGTCTAGTATAGTCTAGTCTAGTCTAGTATAGTCTAGTCTATAGTCTAGTCTATAGTCTAGTCTATAGTCTAGTCTATAGTCTAGTCTAGTAGTCATAGTCTAGTCTCTAGTCTAGTCTATAGTCTAGTCTATAGTCTAGTCTATAGTCTAGTCTATAGTCTAGTCTATAGTCTAGTCTATAGTCTAGTCTATAGTCTAGTCTATAGTCTAGTCTATAGTCTAGCTATAGTCTAGTCTATAGTCTAGTCTATAGTCTAGTCTATAGTCTAGTCTATAGTCTAGTCTATAGTCTAGTCTAGTCTAGTCTATAGTCTAGTCTATAGTCTAGTCTATAGTCTAGTCTATAGTCTAGTCTATAGTCTAGTCTATAGTCTAGTCTATAGTCTAGTCTATAGTCTAGTCTATAGTCTAGTCTATAGTCTAGTCTATAGTCTAGTCTATAGTCTAGTCTATAGTCTAGTCTATAGTCTAGTCTATAGTCTAGTCTATAGTCTAGTCTATAGTCTAGTCTATAGTCTAGTCTATAGTCTAGTCTATAGTCTAGTCTATAGTATAGTCTATAGTCTAGCTATAGTCTAGTCTATAGTCTAGTCTATAGTCAGTCTATAGTAGTCTATAGTCTAGTCTATAGTCTAGTCTATAGTCTAGTCTATAGTCTAGTCTATAGTCTAGTCTATAGTCTAGTCTATAGTCTAGTCTATAGTCTAGTCTATAGTCTAGTCTATAGTCTAGTCTATAGTCTAGTCTATAGTCTAGTCTATAGTCTAGTCTATAGTCTAGTCTATAGTCTAGTCTATGTCTAGTCTATAGTCTAGTCTATAGTCTAGTCTATAGTCCTAGTCTATAGTCTAGTCTATAGTCTAGTCTATAGTCTAGTCTATAGTCTAGTCTATAGTCTAGTCTATAGTCTAGTCTATAGTCTAGTCTATAGTCTAGTCTATAGTCTAGTCTATAGTCTAGTCTATAGTCTAGTCTATAGTCTAGTCTATAGTCTAGTCTATAGTCTAGTCTATAGTCTAGTCTATAGTCTAGTCTATAGTCTAGTCTATAGTCTAGTCTATAGTCTAGTCTATAGTCTAGTCTATAGTCTAGTCTATGTCTAGTCTATAGTCTAGTCTATAGTCTAGTCTATAGTCTAGTCTATAGTCTAGTCTATAGTCTAGTCTATAGTCTAGTCTATAGTCTAGTCTATAGTCTAGTCTATAGTCTAGTCTATAGTCTAGTCTATAGTCTAGTCTATAGTCTAGTCTATAGTCTAGTCTATAGTCTAGTCTATAGTCTAGTCTATAGTCTAGTCTATAGTCTAGTCTATAGTCTAGTCTATAGTCTAGTCTAGTCTAGTCTATAGTCTATCTAGTCTTGTTTATAGTCTAGTTTACAGTCCAGTCTATAGTCTAGTCTATAGTTTAGTCTATAGTCTATATTTTCTATATTAAAATCAGTAACCAGACTGTATTTGTTTCGAAAAAAAATCACCTCCATAACTCAAGCAACCGTTCGCCTGCTACCGTTATATTTGTTTTAATTTTTTTTATTTTATTATATTGCCAACCATTTCCTTTACAAAATTTTAAAACGATTTCTAACTAAATGTGTGTTATAACCTTTTATTGATTAATAACTTCCTTTTCAATTTATTTCACAAAACCACTTAATTAAACATCCGTTTTAAAAACATTTACAAAAAGGCAAACAGTCAAGCTGGCACCCTGGGTTGTTGGTGTTGGTGTTGGGAAACCAGGATATCTATGCTATAAAAGTGTGCGTGTGCGTTATGCATAAAACAATAGTAGAGTGATTTTTACGAAACAAAAAGTATAAAATTTTTATATATTTTTATAAACAGAATATAAACTTACTATAAATTAACACGTCCCAATTTGCGATTATTATTATTATGGCACTTATTATTTCCTTTTTTCAATGATTCCTTTTGCATTTCAAACAATTCATGTTTTGTTACACTTTCCATTGTAATAATTCCTGTTGAGTAGAGAAAATAATTAAAACATCTGTTATAAAGAGGAGGAGAAGGAGGTGTTTGCTGATTGGTTGGTTGGTTGGTTCGAGGGCTTACCTTTGGTATGGCAAAGAATTGTGATAATTTTCTAAAACTTTGGCCTTGCGACTGTCATTGAAATCGTGCCAATTGTAATTTTCAATACTAAGGACAAAACAATTTCATTGTCATCATAACGACAGTGTGACAATTCCACAGCATAGGGGTCCTGTTCAGCATGATGATGATGCTGTTTGCTGCTGATGATTATGATGATGTTGTTGAAAACTACTACTACTACTGCTGCTGCTGCTGGTATGATGATCAATTAATATGGGTTCATCCTTGGGTTCAAGCAAAGTAACCTTAAAATAAACACAAAAACATATTTAGCAATTATTATTATTTTATTATTAAGATATTTAAGTACCCTCTGTTTTCCCTCTGTATTTCCCTTTACGAAATTATTTGATATAGTCATTAAATGTTACAAAGTAAAATTCCTCTTCTATATAATGACATGATTAATGTTTTCCGTTTTTGGTTATTTATAATATTTTTTTTTTTTGCTATTTAATTGTTTGAATAATTGTACTAAAAGACAAACAGACTTAATGAAACATAAAGTGTGTCTGCCTCTCTCTCTCTCTCTGCTTGTCGGTGGAATCATAAAATGTTGAAATTTTGAAAAATGAAAATTTTTTAAACATTAATGAAAATACCAGAAAAATTGTAGTTTAATGTTTCTATTTATGTTTTATGTTTAAAAATATTAAAAATAAATAAAAACCACCCCTTTTCTTTCCAATTTTAAGACTCTCTAATGATTAATAGTTTTCAAGTGCTGTTAAGGAAAAACTAAATGTATCTGTTTTGTTTTTAAAAACTCATCATCATTTCCATTTACTTATTCATCCTGCTCTTGGCTGTCTGCCACTCATATGAACATGACATTTGCATAATGATTTTTATATGGAATTTCAAATAAAGTCACCTGCACTATATATCTTTGCTTATCTCAGTTTTATCTATTCGAATAAAAACTATGTTTAAAGGAATTAAAACTTTAGAATAACAAAAAAAACTATTAAATTTAACAAAAATCTCATTCCTTTAAAACTCTGTCCAAAAAAATAAAAAAACACATTCACATGTTGTCTATTTGCACAACGTTTGCATACTAATAAACTAACTCAAAGAGTCCTTATTTTCCTATTAGGTACTCTGTTGTCAAATGAAAATTCTCCATTTCAACCCCATAAAATATTAACAGATTTATACAGAAAATTGTTAATATTTCGTTTTGTGTTTTACTATTAAATTTATGACCTGTTATGCATAATTTATATTCTGTTTTAGAGCACAAGTTAAAACTCATACAATAAATGAATTATAAATGTGAAATTGTACTAGAATTTATATGAAAATTCAAATCCAATTTACGAAATATTTTATGTTGGATAAATATTTATTTAACATTTCTGTTTAATTGCTAGAAATAATTGGGAATAAATGTTATTAAAGAAGTAATTTATTGCATTTTTTAGGGCATAATTTTGTGAAAATTGCAATTTCTTAATAAATTTTTAATTAAAATTAAATTTAAAGCCAACAACTAATTGTGGGTGAAAAAATGTGTTTTAGTGAATGAAACATAACCTAATAGTAAAAATTTTGAATTATAGGTGAAAACATTTGAATTTTGCGAAAATTTTATTTTTTTTTTTTTTTTTTTTGTGAAAATATGAGTTTTGAGTAAAAATTAGTTTTAGTAAAAAATACAATTTTTCAGTGGAAAATCAAATTTTAGTGAATAATCGAATTTATAGTGAATATTCTAAATTTTTAGTCAAAATTTAATTTTTAGTGAAAAAGCGAATTTTAGTGAAAAAATCGATTTTTTGAAAATTTTAATTTGTAGTGAAAAATCGAATTTTTGGTGAAAAATCGAATTTATAGCGAAAAATTGAATTTTTAGAGAAAAATCGAATTTTTTGTGAAAAATTTAATTTTTAATAAAAATCAAATTTTAGTGAAAAATCCAATTTTAGTGAAACATTGAATTTTTAGTGAAAAACCGAATTTTTAGTAAAAAATTTAACTTAGTAAAAAAATTTAATTTTTAGTGAAAAAGCGAATTTTTAGTGAAAAAATCGATTGTTTTGGAAATTTTAATTTGTAGTGAAAAATTCGAATTTTTTGGTGAAAAATCCAACTTTTAGAGAAAAATCGAATTTTTGTGAAAAATTTAATTTTAGTGAAAAAATTTAATTTTTAATGAAAAATCAAATTTAGTGAAAAATCGAATTTTTAGTAAAAAATTTAACTTTAGTAAAAAATTGAATTTTTAGTAAAAAAAAAACAAATTTTTAGTGAAATTTTAATTTTTAATATAAAAATCGAATTTTTAGAGAAAAATTGACTTTTTATGAAAAAGTGGATTTTTGTGAAAATCACATTTTTATTGAATAATCGTACTTTGTAGTGACAAGTAAATATTTAGTAAAATTCGGACTTAAGCGATTGGATTTTTTAATAGCCAAACTATGAACTACACTAAAGAGTAAAATACTAGACTATAGACAAGACTATGGACAAGACTATGGACAAGTCTATGGACAAGACCTATGGACAAGACTATGGACAAGACTATAGACAATAATATAGACAATACTATAGACAAGACAACTTTTTCTCCTACCCATTACTAATTCTATAACAATCTACCAAATAAATTTTAATAATTTTTAACCAAATATTAAAATTCAACAAATATTTTCTAATATAAAACTAACAAACAAGCGCCAATAATAAATAATAAAAACATTTTCATTTTGTATTGTTAAACGAGTAATTCATAGACAAATTAGGCATTATGCCAATCAGCAAAACAAAATTAACATTTTCCCAATTGAAAAACATATAAATTATGACAACCAAGGCAACGGAATATGAAAAATAATAAAATCAACATTTTGCATAATTTAAAAGAGGCGCCTAAAACCTCTAAAAGCAGAAAATAATTACAATTTTCAAATAATACTACAAATGTACAACATGTCAAATAACCGCCTAAAAGGTCATCATATAATTTTGACAACTACTCTAGTAGTACTAATCAAATGTTCTTAAGTGTAATAAAATAACAGAACCATAAATTTCTAATTATTAATACTTCTAACATTGTGTAGTTAGTTACCTTTTTAAAAAACACAGCAGACCACCTGGGACGGATGTCTTGCTCAAATATGGTTATTTTGCTTTGCAGTTATTATATTCCCTTAAATTATTAAATAATTTAATTTTGCTGAATTGTTATTACATTTGTATTCCCTCCACATGTACGCTTGACTACTTTTTAAAGATAATTCTAATATTGATTACACATGTCCATTAGAAAAGCGATTATTTCTTTACATTTTGTTTATATTTTTAAAACCAGTAATATTTTACTTCCTTAAAGCTATTTTGGGTTATTGTAATTTTTTTCAATTACCTTTTTTGTTAAATATTTTTTTACAAAAAAAGTACTACTAGTTAGTTATTTTTAAATTATTCATTATCAAGGTTAATTTGTTATAGTAAATGATATTCTGTTAAATTGAACTTTTGTTGTTTTAAAACAATAATACCTAAAGACCTAGTAATTTAGTAATTTACTAATCTAATGTCATGTCTTTACATTTTCTACACATGGTCAATGTCTATTAAATTATTTTATTAATTGCAATTAAAATTTGTTATTTACTATTGAACTTTGGAACTTCCGTTTTTGGGGTTAGGTTAATGTTTTGACTCGTAAAATATTTTCCTTATTAAGCTTTAAACTTTGGTTTATAACTTGACCTATCACAATTTTTTACATTTTAATTACATTGTAATTTATATATTTATTCAGAAAATTAACAAATTGGAATTAATTGGTAAAAAAATTAAAAGCGATTATTAGTATAATCTAGTCTATAGTGTAGTTTACATTCTAGTCCATAGTTTATTGTAAACTATAATCTGGTCTAGTTTATAGTCTAGTCTATAGTAATGTCTACAATCTATGGTATAGTCTAGTTTATATTCTTGTCTATAGTCTTGTCTATAGTTTAGTTTATAGTCTAGCCTATAATTTATCTATAGTCCTTCTTATAGTCGTAGCTTTATTATTGGCTATAGTTCTAGTTCTGTAGTCTAGTATATAGTTTAGTCTATAGTCTATAATGTCTATAATTTCGTCTATAGTCTTGTCTATAGCATTATATTTATCTATAGTCGTGTCAAAAGTATTATTTATCATGAAAAAAAGGGAACTGAATGAATTATTTTTCAGTGTTCAGAAATTCAGTTTCCTGAACGTAATTCCTAAGAATCTTCCAATCAGTGTTTTCCAAGATACTTGGATCTAACGGAACTAACTAGACTATATACTAGACTATAGACTAGACTATAGACTAGAATATAGACTAGACTATAGACTAGACTATAGACTAGACTATAGACTAGACTATAGACTAGACTATAGACTAGACTATAGACTAGACTATAGACTAGACTATAGACTAGACTATAGAATAGACTATTGACTAGACTATAGACTAGACTATAGACTAGACTATAGACTAGACTATAGACTAGACTATAGACTAGACTATAGACTAGACTATAGACTAGACTATACTAGACTATAGACTAGACTATAGACTAGACTATAGACTAGACTATAGACTAGACTATAGACTAGACTATAGACTAGACTATAGACTAGACTATAGACTAGACTATAGACTAGACTATAGACTAGACTATAGACTAGACTATAGACTAGACTATAGACTAGACTATAGACTAGACTATAGACTAGACTATAGACTACTATAGACTAGACTAGACTAGACTATAGACTAGACTATAGACTAGACTATAGACTAGACTATAGACTAGACTATAGACTAGACTATAGACTAGACTATAGACTAGACTATAGACTAGACTATAGACTAGACTATAGACTAGACTATAGACTAGACTATAGACTAGACTATAGACTAGACTATAGACTAGAATAGACTAGACTATAGACTAGACTATAGACTAGACTATAGACTAGACTATAGACTAGACTATAGACTAGACTATAGACTAGACTATAGACTAGACTATAGACTAGACTATAGACTAGACTATAGACTAGACTATAGACTAGACTATAGACTAGACTATAGACTAGACTATAGACTAGACTATAGACTAGACTATAGACTAGACTATAGACTAGACTATAGACTAGACTATAGACTAGACTATAGACTAGACTATAGACTAGACTATAGACTAGACTATAGACTAGACTATAGACTAGACTATAGACTAGACT